ACGAGAGGCAGCTGATCAACGTTTCTCTCCCCCTGTCTCCGTCCCTTCCCCTCTCTCTAAAAGTAAATAAATACACAAATAAATAAAGCGACGTTGGAGCGGAACACAGATGATGGGACCGTCCGGTGGCCTGCCTCTGTCCACGGGCGCGCCTTAGGAAGTCTCCTGGCCGAGGGGCGCGGGGCAGGGGGCACAGAGCTCTCGAGGGGTGGGGAAAGGACCAGGATTTCAAGCAATAAGGACCAAACGTCCCCAGATTTGGAGGAAACTATACACCCACAGGTCCGAAAAGCTCAGCCCCTAGCGCACGTCATCGAAAGTGGCGCTAAGGGGAAAGTCGAGCCTCAGCCCGCGGGAAAACGCACTGGGAGCGAAGGCACGAAGCGGCGGCTCCTCCCGAAAAGAGTGGCCTGAAGATTGGGAGCCACGTCTCCACGGAGGGGAAGAGGAGACGCCGCCCCGGAGCCCCCCCACGGTGCAGAGGGCTCTCGGACCGGAGCGGAGCGGGCGGATCGGGCGGATCGGGCGGATCGGCGCTGCCAAGCGCTGGGGAGGCTGGCCGACTCCCGCCGCCGGGGAGCCGCATGGGACCCGCGAATGGACGGCGCCTCCCGGGCGGAAGGAGGGCGAGGCCGGGTCTGCGAAGGAACCGGGGGCACCGGAAGCGGTGGCCGTGGCCGCGCCCGTGACGGCTCCCAGCGAAGCTCCAGAAATGCCCCCGCCGGCGACTTTTGCGACATGTCTCCGTAGGGCGCGTGGCGCCGACTGCGCACAGCGCAGGAAAGCAGATGCCCGGGCCGGGGCCGGGGGTTGGGGGGGGCGGGCGGGGTCCTTGCTGGCCGGGAAGCTGGCGCTGGCGCTGGAGCAAGACCGCGAGGAACGCTCGCTAATAAACAAGACGCGGGGACGACGGAGTCTTAGCGATATCCCGGGACAGGCGGAAGGCAGCAGAGGAGGGGCGGCGACGGACCCCGCGCAGCCGCCTTGCGTCACAGTCGGCGCGCGGGAAACGCAGAGGCTGCTGGGCCCGCAAAACCACCGAGTCCCGGCGCTCCCGACACGGACCCACCGTGAACAGAACAACGCAGATGGAATGTCGCGGGTGGGAAGGATAAGGAGACCACACGAGAGCCGGAGGGGCTGCGGCAGCGCCTGGCAAAGCGGCTCCCGGAGCCGGGTGTCGCCAGGGCGAAGCGGCCGTTGCCTGCCATGAAAGTCGGTCGGGGAGAGCACGGCCGGCCGCTCCCGCCTGTGCAGCACCTGACTTCACGGCTGCAGGACGCCGGGAGCAGGCCCTGCGGCGCCCCGGGCACGCGCGGGCCGATCCGCCGGCGGCCGGACAGGCAGAGGGGAGGCAGCCCGGCTGCGGGAGGCTGGGCGGCCAGCGGCGAAGTGGCCGGTGGCACAATCCAGCGTCCTCCAGTGCACGGGACTGTGTCCCGAAAGTCCGCGTTCTGGGCTGTAAAAACGTCTCGGTAAATGTGAAAGTATTTGGGTCGTGCAAAGGATGTCACCTGACCACCGTGGAATTAAACTGAGGACAATGCCAGAAAGATGTCCAGAGAATTCCCAAGTATTTGGAAACCAGAAAACGAGCTTCTGAATAGCCTCTGAGCCACAGGACCAGTCAAAATGGGAACAGTCAAGTGTCTTTAATTGCGTGAAGACAAAAAGGTGACGTGTCAGAAAGGCCGGATGGAGCGATAGGGCGCCCAGCACCCCCCGGCCGAGCGAAACAAAACAGAGGCCCTGCCTCAGCGCCCCCAGCTGCCCCGGAGGAGCAGGGGGGGCGAGGAATAGAGCTTAAAGTGGAAAGAAGAAAGAGCAACACTCGCGGGAGCTCAGCGGGCTGGCAGGACGCTGGCTCGGGAGACAAGGTTCAGCTGTGTCTCCGCAAACCAGCAACAGGAAGCGAAATCACGGCGTTTCCGCCGCCTTCGCCCCTGGGCCTCCCAGCGGTGACCGTGCCCAGCTCTGCGGCAGCGACGCCTGCGGCCTCCCTCCCGTCCCGGCCTGGTTCCGCGTGGTGGGTGTGCCCTGGCCGCACGGAGTGACCTTCCCACCGGAACTCGGAGCGTGGGGGTGGGGCCGAGGATGGAGGGGTGCCGGCGTGCCGGCCCAGACCCCTGGACCCGGTGAGGCGAGGCTGCCCGAGGGCTTTGTCCTGGGGGCACTAGGAGTCGCTGGAGGGGCCTCAGAGGGGCAGCAAGGTGGGTTGCCTTTCCGGCAGGAGTCTGTGTCCCGGCCGAGGGAGGACGGGCCCGAGGAGCGGGGGCAGGGGGAGACCCTGACACCCGGGAGGCAGGAAGGACCCCAGTGGCAGGTCTGAACCTGGGCCAGGCTCCCCAGAGGAGGGAGGGGGAGGGGAGGGCCCACGTCAGTGCTGGGCTTGCGTTTGGTGCGTCTGGGAGGCCACAGGTGGAGGCCCCAGGTGGACGGTGGGTCTCGGCCAGGGGTGACGTCACCTTGGCTTGTGGCAGGGCCCAGCCGGCCCAGAGAGCACTGGGAGAGGAGAGGCCAGCCGGGCACCCGTGGGTGGCAGTCCTTGAGCCCCGGGAGGACAGTGAGGGTGTCCCTGGACGTCTCCACCTTCCCCTCCCCCGCAGGGCTGGCCACCGCCCTGATGAAGCTTCGGTCCCATCTCCACGGCGGTTTGAGCCCCTCGGAGCCGGGTCCAGAGCAGGCAGGTCAGGTAGGGCCGAGCTGGAATTTCTGGGGCATGTGACCTGAGCTGGGTGGGGGGCTTCCTCGCTTGGCTCGCCTGCCCGACGCCCAGCCGGGACCCCGGGGCATTTCTGGAGGACACAGCAGGTGCCCCCTCAGCGGTCCCACGGGCCCGGGAGACGGTCCAGGGGGTGGCCGGGTGGGGAGGCCGCCGGAGCAGGAGGGTCGCCGAGTGGTATCGGGAGGCAGCCTGGCGCCGCACTTTTAATTTGTGACTAATTTGTTGCACAATGAGGTTGCAATTTTCTAATTGTGATTGCCATTTTAATTTTACTCATGGTTGTGCAGCCAACAGTGTATAGTCCAGTAATTAAAATTAATTGTACCTTCACCTGCATATTTCTATTAGGCTGCTAAATTTACTCTGAAAGCTCAATGGCTTTGTTCCCTGAAAGGTGCCACGCTCATTTCTGCCACACTTGGCGAGTGCCTGCCGCAGGGGCCCGGCCGGCCGGGCGGCCGAGACCGGAGGGCTTGCCGGGGCTTAGGGACCTAACAGTCACCGAGCCGCTGGTGACTAGCTGGGTCCCCAGTTGCATGTGGGGATTCCATGGGAAGTTTTGGAAAACCACGTGGGCTTTCTGCGCCACGTGAAGCCCACAGGTGACTCTCACGGTGCGTGCCGGACACCCGGTCCCCAGCCTGGGCGTCCTGGTGGCCTCGGGGCCAGGGCAGGGAGACCCCTCTGGACTCCAGGTGCCAGACCTCGGCATCGGGTGTCACCAGGCAGGCCCCCTTCCCAGCAGCCTCTAGGGGTCTCCTGTGCCCGTCGGGGGCGACCCCGCCCTGGCTGCACCCTGACAGCACAGGCTCAGCCCATCAGACGCACCCTCCCGGGGCCCCAGGCCCATGTCCCTCTGGAAAGGGCAGCCGGGGTGGAGCCGAGAGTCTTCAGCCTGACTGAGCGGCAGAGCCTTGCCTCGCTGTCCCCCCCCCGGAGGCCACACTCCGTCCCCGGAGGGTCAGCTGCCCTCCCTCTCCTGTGAGGAGCACATGCACCCTGCCTGGGCAGGGAGGAAAGGGGAATGCTTTGTCGGCACCTGCTCGGTGGTCCCGTGAAGGAGTGCCTCTCTGTCCCCCACCCACTCTCCCGCCCATCCCTCCCTCCCGCTGTCTGTCTGTCCACCCACCACCCACCATCTCCCCACCCCTCCCTCCGGTGCTCCCCCCCGTGGGCAGGAGGCCCCCAGGCTGTTTGCATCCTCGGGGAGCACAGCGGGGGTTGGGTCACAGACCAGTGTTAGTTGGCAGGTCCTGCTGGCTGGTGGCACTGGGGGCAGACAGCACGGGGGAGGGGCTGCGCCGGGGTCTGGGAGAGCCCCTCGGAGCAGAGGCCGGGGGTGGGCCGGGGCGGCTGGCCTCTCTGGCGGGCGGGACAGGCCCCGGCCGCCCCCACTCGCTCCCGACACCGACTGCCAGGGGGTGTCCTAACTGACGACGTGACCAGTCCCCCTGCTCCACACGCGACGTGGCTCCCGTCCCCCGTGGTCCAAGGCCAGCCCTCAGCGAGGGCCTTGGGGCCCCAGCAGCTCTGGCCTCCCCTGTCCTTGCCCCAGTTCTCACCCACAGGTCTTCTCCCCCAGGAAGCCCCCCGGCAGCTCCGCAGGGTAGCAGTGCCCGCGGCCCAGGCCTCCGAGAGGGAGCAGCTGGCAGGACCTCCCCGCCCCCCCCCCACCCGGAAGCCCTGCCCCAGGGACCTGTCCCGGCAGCGTGGACAGGTCCTTCCGTGGCCCCTTCCGTGGCCCGGCGCTGCCCCCCAAGGGCCCACCTCAGCTGCACATGTGCTGCCCCCACGGCCGGCCCCCTCTCCCCACGGCCCAGACCCGCACCCCAGCCGGCCCCTCCGTGCCCCTGGCGCTCAGGCCACAAGGCAGGGGGCCCCTGACCCTGTCCCTCCGCCCTGTGCCTCCAAGGCCGGCGCAGGGGCCTCCGGTCCGCACACCTGGTGGGGCCCCGGCGCTCTCGCTGGGTCGGCGGAGGGCTCCCTCTGCACGGTCTCCTGCCGCCCAGCCCCGCCGCCCCGCCGCGCCATGCTGCAGCCAGAGGGGTCTCAGCAGGAGCCAGCTAGGCCTGTCCCCCACTCCCCGTCCCCATCCCGCCACTCTGAGGTCCCGCCTCCCCCCACCGGCCCACTCTGGGGCAGGACCTCTGGGGCAGCCCCTTCTGTGGGGCCAGTGCCCCGGGGCAGGAGTGGGGGGCCCCGGGGGACACACACAGAGCACCTTACGTGACCCCCACTGCTCTGGGCGCTGGGGGCCTGGAGGGGCAGGGCTGGTCTACTGGGGAGACCCAGTGGCTGCTGGGGACGGAGAGCCGGGGTGGGGGTCTCCGGGCAGGGGGGCCTCCTGCCCATGAAGTGGGGGAGGAGCCAGGATATGGGGGGTGGGGGGGGCTGGAGACCTGGTCTGGGGCGTCTGCAGGGGGTCCATCTGGGCAGCTGGGGCCTGGGCCGGAGGAACAGCATGAGAGGCAGCCGGTGGCGGAGCCCCGGCTCAGGGAGGCCGAGCCCTGGCAGGCGCTGGCCGGGAGAGGGCGTAGGCTGACCAGGCCCCTGGCTTGTGTGTGGGAATGGGGGGGGCGAAGGGCAACTCGGGGTTAAATGGGTTAAACAGGCTGCTGACCAGAGAGCAGCCCCAGAGAGACCCTGGGTGGAGCCAGGAGGTGCTGCTGGCAACAGCTGGGGCCTGGTGGGCAGGGCCCCCGCGCTGGGACTGCGGGGAGGGGGAGGCCGAGCCGGGGAGCCCTGAGGACAGGAGGTGCCACGGGCCTTGGGGGCTGGAGTCCACAGCTCCAGGAGGGGCCGGGCCCAGGTGCGAACACTCCCGCACCCAGGGCTGAGAGGTCACCGTCTGGGCCTGAGGTGGGGAGGGTGGACCAGCAGGGGCCCCGGAACCCGCCCCGGCGCCCCAACACCTGGAGTTCATGCCTTGGACTCTGGCCAGGGGCAGGCTGGCCGCCCGTCACCGTCACCACCGAGGTTCCCAGAGCAGCTCCGGGGCCTCATCCCGCACCCCTCCCTCCCTCCCCCCCCACCCCACCCCCCAGGGCACAGCCAGCCCGGGGGGGCCCAGTGGCACGCGGGGACCGCTGACGCCCGTCAGGCCCGATAAGGGCACGGGCCCCGCCGACCCTGCGAGTGCATTAATCTTCCCCAAATTGAAATCTGCAGCGCGGCGCTTAAGACCGAGGCCACCACGGTTCAGCGCGGTGTGACCGCCGGTTCTGATGGCCGCGCCGTGGGAGGGGCCGACGGAGATGGATGGCCAGGGCCGTGCGGACACAGGTCGCCCTCGCTGCCCCTTCCCACAGCCGGTCTGGCGGCCTCGCACCTGGGGGGACCCTGCCGGGGTCCGGGGTGGCAGAGGGCTTCCCCCACCCGCGTGGCTCAGCGCCCCGGTGCATCCGGACACGCTGGTGACCGAGTCAGGAAGGAGGCTGTGGCTGTCCCCTTCGCCGGGAGGCCTCTCCCAGCAGCGCGGCCTGAGCACTTGTCCTGAGCGCAGGCGGCTCTGGGTTGGGGCCCCTCAGGGGTCTCTCCCCCCAGACCCAGGACCTGGAAAGGGGGGGCTGGCTCAGCATCCCAGGCCCAGGCCCAGGCCCAGGTACACACCCGCCCTGCGGCCCCCAGCACAGCTCAACAGCCTCCCGTCTGGGTGAGGTGGGCCGGGTGCTGGTCCCAGGGGGCTGGGGCCTGGCAGGGCCCCCGGCGGGCAGCCTGCTGGGAAACCCCCAGGCTTTCCCTGCCCCTGGTCCCGGGGACCCACCCGCCTCTCCTCCCAGCTGGCCCCGCCCTTACCTCATGGTCAGGTCAGAGCCCCTCCTCCACGGAGCCCTCCCCCCGGCCCCTGCAGCCCGGCACCCACCGACCCATCATGGCTCTTCCCCACTGCCCCTGCTGTCCTCCACCCACAGCGGCCTTGGCCTCGGCCTTGGCCAGACCCTCCAGGTGCGGCGTCAGCCCCTTCAGCATCAAGGCCGGGCTGGTGGGAGCTCCTTCAAGTGCAGGGCGAGGCCCGGGGGCAGGGGGCAGGTGGCGCACCCCACCTCCAGAGGAGGCGGAAGCCCTGGCCCGGAGTCTGGCCACGGGTCTGAGAGAACCGTCCCTGAGGGCTTCCTGGGGGAGGGGGCTGGGAGGGGCTGGCCTGGGCAAGGTGCAGAGGCACGAGCCCTGAGTAGGGCTGGAGAGGGGAGGCGGTGCCGGTGCCGGGCCGGGATGGGGCCCCGGGGCGGGGACCCAGGACACGGGTGGACCTGGCAAGGCCCCCGGAGGCAGCCGGCGTCCGGCCAGCAGGCGTGTCCTGGGCGGCTCCCCGCTTTCCTGACCGAGTTCAGGCCAGCGAGGTGCACAGCCCGCAGCGGCATCGCCCGCCTGCCGCCGCCTCCCCGAGCAGCCGTGAAATTGATATTTAAAACTAATTGTACGGCGCCCTCCGGCCAGCCGGACAGCGGCCACGTGCATCCCATCTCGCCTTGGGCTCCGGCCGTGACCCCGGCTGGGAGATTAGGGGGCTGAGGCATCGGGGCTTATCTCCAGTGGACAGTGGTGCCCCACCCCCGCTGGCCGGCTGCAGGCCCCTCTCCCGGCCGCCCGCCCGCGGCACCGCGCTGCCCCTTCCTCGGAGAGTGGCCCTCGATCTCATAACATCCAATTACCAGCCGACCGCGGTCCGGCGCTCGGATCAAATCGCTCAGCCGCCGTGAGGAGCCCGAGCAGGTCAATCTCAGCCGGTTAGACACGGTGTCCGCCGCCAGGCCGCCCGCCGCCCGCCCCACAGGGGCGCTGGCTCTGGCTGCAGACGAGGCCTGGGCTCAGGGTGCGGGGCGTGGGCTCAGGGCCGGGGCCTCCAGGAGGGTCCCTGGAGCTGCCCAGCGGCTCCCCGGCCGCTCCGCCATCCAGCCACAGCGGCCTCCCCCCGGGGTCCCCGTCCACCCAGAGCCCGGGGCCGCGGCTCACGTGCCGAGGGTCTGCGGGTGCGGTCAGTCAGGACGGGGCCGCGCGTGAGCCGGCCTGGCCCTCCATCCAGGGACGGCGTCATCGTGAGGAGAGAGGAGGCACCTGCAGGGAGAAGACAGCCGTGCGAAGACCAGATGTCGGCCAGAAGGAGCACCACGGGTGACCGTTGGCCCCCAGGCAGCTGAGGGGGCAGGCGGGGTGTCCCCAGGGCCACCAGAGTGACCGTGACCCGGCCAGCGCCCGAGTCCAGACCCTGCAAGAGCCGTCTGTCGTCACCCCGCCGGGTGCTGGCTCTCGTCACAGCGGCCTCGGGAGTCAGATGGTGCATGGGCCGGGGGAGCTCAGGTCCTGCGCCTCCCCTGGCCCGCCTGTTCCCCACACCCTGCTGTTCTGCGGCCCCCGGCAGCGCCCCACCTCCTGGCACAGCCACCTCCTCTGCCCACCCTTGGTCCCAGCCAGGTCACCGAGCACATGCTGTGCCCCGAGGTCCCCACCCCCATGCCGGGGGTCTCTGCAGAACCAGGCAGTGGGGCTCCCTGACGCCCTTCCCACCTGCCGCTGCACCTCAGGGACCTGGGGCCCCACACCTGCCCCCCAGCAGCTGCCCCTGTCTGGAGAGGACACGGGGCAGAGGGCACAGTGCTAAGGGCCAGACGCAGACCGGCCACACCTCAGCCTCTCGGAGCCTCAGGGTCTGCAGCTGTGCAGTGGGCGGCCTGCAGTTTACCGCCCAAGTGAGAGCGGGGCAGGAGGGTGGACTAACTGCCCCTGGCTGCCAGACACCTGGCCACCCAAAATGCCCACCCCACGGGCTGCTGGGAGTATTAAGTGGGGAGACGGGAGGAAGCCCCCTCAGCACGCCCCCGCTCCCAGCCTCGGCCAGCACTCAGCAGACACCCTCCCCAGACCCTGGGGTGGCTGCCCCCCCGGGCTTCCTGCGGGGCCTTGCAGCCTCAGCCTGTGGTGGACAGCGCCACCGGCACCTGTGTGCTGCTGTCCCCTGCCCCTGGGCCCCACGTGGGAGGTCGTGCACTGCCCTGGCCCAAAGGCCTTGGTGTCCACCCAGACAGCGAGTGACTCACGTCTGATCATGCCACCAGGTTATTAAAGCTCCGCAGCCGTTTAGCTGAGTGGCAACCGTGTGAGGGCAGCAAGGCGGGCATCACCGCCGTCACCACCGTCACCACCATCACCACCACCATCCTCACTATCATCATCGTCATCACCACCATCACCATCTTCACCATCAGCTCCTTAACTATCTCTTCATCGTCCTCACTGTCGCCACCACCGCCGCTGCCTGCATCAGCACTGTCCCCACCATCGTCCAGAATCTGTTTCCAGCTGCAAAGTCCAAGGTTAGCAGCGTCAGACGACTTGCCCAAAGCCACCCCCGCCCCACCCCGTGTGCAGAGGAGCCTCACACCAGCCCGGCTTCCAACGTGCCGGGTGCCCCCGTCCCGGGCGGAGCACCCCCACAGCCCCCTGCTGCCCTCCCGGGGGCCGGCTTGCTGACCCCTGGCCAGCTCCACTTGGGATACCCAGTCCCTGCTCACACCCTCAGCCGTGCCCTGCGAGGCCAGAGGACCCCGTCCCATAATGCCCAATAAATAACCTGGATTTAATTGAATTAATATCGACAGCGTGTAATTGCTCCCTCCTGCTCCAGCCCGCCGCGGAGGGGCGGCGGGGGGGGCGGTGCGGGGAGGTTATTGCTTTAAAAAAATGCCCTCAGCCCCAAGCAGCGACTCGGCCGTATTATTATAGGAGTAATGAGGGCGGCTGATTTGATCTCTCCTTCCACAATAGGGCAGCACGGCCGCTCCATAAACAGCCAAAGTCCTTTGTCCCTGTGGGCTGTTTGCGGGTAATTAAAATCAATAGGGTCTTCCTCCCAGACCTCCTTGGCTGCTGCCGGGCGTCAGGCAGGCGCATGGGTGCTCCAGCGAGAGCCCTCCTGGTCCGGGCCCTTCCCGCGAGCCCCGCCCGGGAGCCCTGCAGCGGGGGCGGCAGGTGGGCCCCAGGAACTGGCGGCGAGGCCAGTGTTGATGGCACGGCCCCGAAACCGAGGGTCCCCCAGCTGGGAGGCTTCCCTGGGCTCAGGAGGGTGCTCAGCGCGCTGGCCCAGACACCTGCCTCCCCCCGTGCCGCCGGCCCTTTACAGGCCCACGAGCGCTCGCGGGGCCTCCGTCCCCCTCCGGGCACCTGCCCGGCGGCCCCCGTGTACCCTGTGCCCGTCCCACACACCCATGCCCAGGGCTCACACGTCTGTGGCTTGAGGCTGAGGGGCAGCCACCCCGTGGCTCGCCCGTGGCCCCGCCCCCGCCCCCATTCTGCAGTCCTGCCCCGGGCAGCGGCCTGGTCGCTGGGCGGAGAGCGGCGCTGCCCCTGGGCGCCTGTGCTGCATGAGAGTGGCCGTGGCTCCCCGGGGCCGAGCTGGCACGTCAGAAGAAGCGACTGCCCAGTCCAGCGTGGGGGCAACTCGGCTGCTCGGACAGGGTGGGAGTGAGGAGCTCACTGGCGGCCGTGGTGGTGGAGGCCAGGCACCCCGGCCCCGCTCCGGACGGAGGCTCTGATAGGTCCTGGAGGTTGAGGAGGGTGTGTGGGCGGGCAAGGGTGGGCCGATGCCCCAGGGTGGGGGTATGCAGAGTAGGGGTCACCCCAGGGTTAGGGGTGCACAGGCTGCCTGCCACTTGGATGGGAGCTGGCTCTGTGCTGTCCATCTCATCTCCCTGACTCAGGGGAGCCTTCAGGTCAGGCTGGCTCCAGGGCACTGCCTTTGTGCTGGCTGCCTGGGAGCTCACTGTGGGGGGCTCCTCAGGCATCTGTCCACCAAGCACAGCTGCTGTTGCAGGGAGGGACTCAGACACAGAGGGAGCCTGCTCTCTGCAGAGAACCCCCTGGGGTTCTAGAAACTTCCTCCCGCAAAGCCCATCCAAACTGAACCCGGGCCCACGCCGGCAGCCCCTCACCCAGGCTGTGCAGCCCAGTCCCTGCCCTGCGGGAGCTGGAAGTCCACTGGGGAGAAGGGCCGCGGGCAGAGACAGCGCCTGTGGAGGCGGACAGCGGCCCGGGACCAGCGGGCAGGGGGAGTGGGGTGCCAGAGGTGACGCTGAGCTGCGGCCGGAAGGCCCAGAGGCCAGAGTGCCGCTGAGGTCCGCGCGGCCAGAGCAGGAGGAGCCGCGGGGGAGGAGGCGGCGGAGAGGAGGGGGCGGGTCCAGCCCGGGAGGGTCCCCTGGGCCCATCTCCGGGCCGATGCCTGAACCCACCGGCCCCGTGGAAGTCGGGGTCCCATAGCATGGGGCTCGGGCAGACACAGTGGCCCCGCAGGGCTGTCCTCGGGGCCCCCCGGGAATCACTGCCCGGCCCCCCGGCCGGCTCCCAGGCCTCTCTGCGGCAAGCCGGCTCGGGCCCCACACAAGTGTTTGGAACAAGGACAGAGACACGTGTGGGACAGCGACGAGAACACGGCTCACGATCGCCAGACACGGCCAAGAAAACCAGCACGAACACGGCCCCTGACACACAACCCCCGGCACCCCCACACACTCGGGCACAACCAGCGCGTCCCGGCCACCGGCGCACGGACGGCCCCCGCCCGGCACCGCAGCTCCCAGTGCACAGACAAACACTCATACACACACAATGAGCACACGCGTGCCCTCACACACACATGCACACACCCGAGTGCACGCACACGAGCACACACTTGCTCACGCTCACGCTCAGCCCGCTGCCACCGCGTCCTGTGCAGGAGCCGCACTCACACCCCCCCACCCCCGACGCCGGCCGGCACACAGATGGTGGGGGCCGCCGGGCTAGCCGGCCACCCTGGGCGGGAGACGTGGGCGGTGCCGAGTCGTGCACGGTGGCTCATCCCCCTGACCACCCAGACGGCCCTCCCTAAAGCTGGGGGCCCACACGCGGGGGGCCAGGGGCGGGGGGCGGGGCCGGGGGTCCTGGGCCCAGCTATGTCCCTCTGTCTGCACAGGCCGCTCTGAGGCACAGTCACCTGCCCCCCCCCGCCCCGTGCAGGCCAAGACCACGCCTCCCCCACGGGGATTAGCCGCACGGCGGACGCACCCTCCTCCCCTCTCCTGGCTCAGGCCTCGCGCCAGGTGTGGGCCGGGTGGCTGCTCGCACACCGCCGCCCCTGGGGGGCCACCCGTCCCTGCCTCTGAGGCCCCTCCCTCCATGCCCAGGGCTGGGACCACCCTGGTCCCCTCGCTCCCAGGACTGGAGCCTCCAGAGCATTCCGTCCTCCTGACACCAGTTAGGGGGCTGCCCCCCCAGGGCGGCTCCCCCGGGCTGCAGGGGTCTTGAGCACCGGGGGGCCCCCAGAGCCAGCAGGTGCCCAGGCCTGTCCAGCAGGTGCCGGCCCGGGTGCCGGGCCGGCCTGGGTGCAGCCTCCCGGGAGCAGATGTCCTTGTTCCCCCATCCTCGAACTCCAGGATGGTTGCGGGCAAAGCCCGGTGGGCCCGGGGGCAGCCACTGAGGTGTCTGCTGGGCGCGCCCCAGATCAGCCGCCCCAGATCAGCCGTCCCATGCGTGTTCTCCGGGGCCCGGGGCACACGGGCCGGACAGGGGCGGCACGCCTGGGGGCAGCTGACCCTGCCGGCCAGCAGCCCCGGAGGTTTCCCGAGCCGGGTCCCCCACCCCGGGGAGCAGAGCCCCGCCCGGCCGGGCCAGCGCGGCGAGGAGGGCGGCCGCCCTCATGCTTTATCCCCTGACAGTATCCATCTTCCCAAATTGATTTTTGATATCCATAGTGACCTGGAAGGGAGACGCGGCGATCACTCTCGGAAAGTGGAAAACAATATTATCGCCACAAATATGAATTACTGGCCGCCAGGTTAAATCTGCTGTGCGGTGAATTATGTGACCCCGGCGCTCCTATAATTCCTGGGAGTTTTATGGAGTCGGGAGAGGCCTGCGGACGCTGACAAGCACTTAACCGCCAGAGCCGGCCCCCAACAACTCGCGGGGCACTTGATTTAGCCGCGGGGGGCGGCTCCGTTCTGCCTGGGGAGCCGGGATGACGGGCGGGCGCCGCTGGGGTCACAGACCTCATTTGTCGGCGCTCTTGTCGCTCTCGGGGCTGCGGACGCGCGGGCCCTGCCGGGAGCCGGCTCTGTGCTCCGGGCCTCGGCGGGCACCTGCCCCGTGGAGCGGCCGGTGGGGAGCGCGTGGGGCCGCCGAGTGGCTGCAGGCCCCGGAGGGGGGGGGGCGGGGGGAGGGCCCAGGGAGGGTCACAGCGCGAGGCCAGCGGCGTGTCCCCCGGACCCGGAGTGTGAGGGCGGGGGGTGGGGCGGAGGCTCGGGGTTGCACCCCTGTTCTCAGGCACCTCTGGGGGCGGGGTGGGGGCACAGAGGGTCAGCCCGGGAACTGGTTTGGGGGAAGTCCTTGGCGGCACCCTGCTCCTCCACCCGGGCGCCTCGGGCCGGCCCGGCCCTGCCCTGGACCGGGGTCTGGGCACAGGGCACCGAGGAACCCCCGGGCCGAGCTGCCAGGGCCCTGGCCTGTGGGAGGTGCCCCTCCACGGGAAGGCCTCGGCCACTCCCCAGGGACCTGCTGGCCCGGGTCCCTGCACGGAAGGGCCTGGAAGGCGGCTTCCAGTGGGATGTCAGCCTTTGCCCCTGGGGCCCCGGGCAGTCCCCAGCCTTCGACGGCCCTGGGGGACACGCTGGAAGCAGCCGGCTGCGGTCTCTGCAGTCCCCAGAACTCGGTGCCTCGGTCCCAGGACACCGGGGGGGGGGGGGCACCCTCGGTCCTGGGCCCCCTCCAGCCGCCCACAGGGCGTGGGGAACTCAGCGGCCGTTGCAGCTGCAGGTGTCAGCCCCAGGAGGCCACGGCAGGGTCAGGGGTCTGGCTGGGAGCTGCCGCTGCCCTCCCCCTGCATCGGAGGGAGGGCCCCCTCCCAGCCGGCCTCACAGTGGGGGGGCCTGAGGCTGCAGAGCAGGACAGGACGGGGTGCCTATCTCCCACTGAGCGGGACCAACAACACAAATGTCATTTAATTTACATGACAAAGTGGCACCATTATTGCGAGCTGACAGAATGCCGCTGGGGCAATTTCCGAAAATTATTTAAACAATGTAATGAGTTAAATGTCAGTGCTGGCTAATTATGTTTATGCTAATTGTTAATTAGCGCTATAATGGAGACAGTCTTAATTAACAATAGTTACGAGTGCGGGGGGTGGGCTCCCGGAGCGTCGCCCGCCCACTCCAGACCCCGGCCTGTCAGCTGCCTCTGGCGGGAGACCAGGCGGCCCTGGCCCTGGCCCTGGGCCGGCCTGCCTGCCGCCCGCCTCCCCGCCTCCGCCCCTTCCCGCCACCTCTGCA